AAGTCGAATTGGTCTATCTCTGCGGCCCACCTAGTCAACTTAGGTGTCATCTTGGCCTGGGTCTTTAGCCATCTAAGCGTTTCATGGTCCGAATAGACTTTAAATCCCAAGCAGGTAATGCTTCCAATGGTCTAAAGCCTGCCTGAAAGCGTAGAGTTCTCTCTCGTACGTGGAGGTAGCGACCTTCTCACAGGGCATCCTCGCTGACATGAACTCTACGGGTCTATAGCCATTGCCGTCGTCTTGCTGCAACATGACGCCTATCCCATACTGACTCGCGTACGTGGTGACGACAAATGGCAAAGACGGATCTGCAACTTTGAGGACAGGATATTCTATTAACGCGCGCTTTAGCTTCTTGAGCGCAGACGTACAGTCTTTGTCCCATTGCCAGATTGCCTCTTTCTTCAGCAACCTGCGCAAGGGAGCGGCGACAGTAGAGAAGTTCCTTACGAACTTCCTATAGTAGTTAGCTAAGCCTAGGAACGACCGCAACTCTGTCAATGTGCGGGGCGTCGGCCAATCTYTGATCGCCGCGATTTTGCTGTCCTCTGGCTTAATGCCATCTCCGTCCAACACATGGCCCAAGTATAAGACTTGCGTCTTGGCCCACTCGCACTTCTTTGCGTTGATCTTGAAGTTAGCCTCTCTAAGCTTCTCCAAGACCTGCCTCAGATGACCCTGGTGCTCCTGGAGGGTCTTACTAAAGACTAGGATATCATCTAAGTAGACTACTACAAATTTATCTAACCATTATCTAAACAGGTCATTCATACAACGCTGAAAAGTAGCTGGCGCGTTGGTTAGTCCAAAGGGCATCACTATGAACTCATAATGCCCGTATCTCGTCCGAAACGCAGTCTTGTACTGGTCATCAGGATGGACCTCTATCTGATGATACCCGGCTTTTAAGTTTATCTTAGAGAAATACTTGCAACCCTGCACCCGATCTAAAAGATCGTCGATCCTGGGCAGCGGCTTAGCATTCTTTACGATGATCGCATTTAATCCCCTATAGTCTATACACATTCTCACCTTTCCTTCCTTCTTGGGGACAAACAAAACGGGTGCTCCAAAAGGAGACGAACTGGGCCTGATCCAACCTTTCTCAAGGAGCTCGTCTAACTGTTTGCGAAGCTCCTCTAACTCTCTAGGGGACATCCTVTAGACTGCACCCTTAGGAGTTCTACTGCCAGGCTCTATCTCTATCCTGTGCTGGATGGGTCGCGACACTACTCCTCT